AGTGACATGCTAGGGTTTGTTATTAATCTTGTTAGTATCATGCCTAGGATCTTGCTATTATTATTATTATGCTTTATTATTAACATGATTATTTTTATGATTATAATTGTTATAATAATTGTTATGATTATTTACTATGTTGCTTGATATATATTTGTTGTTATTGCTTGATCACACCTTTTATGCATGTTTAAAGGGAATTGGTACTTGTAATCACACTTAATAAGATAATTGATAATCTTGTTTAGGGTTAATTTGATTATAATTCAAGTGATCACCAATAATAGATTTATTTGTGCATTAATATTCAACCAACATAGATAAACAGATTTAGGGTAATCCTATTGATTGCATGTTATTCAGAAAGCGCACATGAGTACGATCAGAATAAAGTAGAGGCTTATTATTAGGGCAGGTTCAATCTCTTTTAGGTTGGATTTGTACCTTCATCCTCGAACTATCAGTCATGGTTCCAGACCTATTGGATTTGACGATCTCCTGGATCATTAAGGGGTGTAACCTTCACCTTGTGAACGGATTACAAGTTCCTAAAACTTGTTGGCGACACTTTTGCTCTATCTTCTTTCCCTTTGGACACCACCGTACTTTAGTGTATGATCACAATGGGGTTCAAGCTAGGGTTAATGCTTGAAATATTCCCTACAGTTTTTGGCAACTCCACTAGGGAGGATTTCTATTTTAATTCCTGAAATTTATTTTGGCAATGATTTAGAATGAGTGGATGAGACTCGAAAAGTTCTAAGTATTTCATGTGTGTAATTTTGATTAACATTATTGTCATATGCATAAAAAAATATCTCATTGGAAATACCATCCGTAATGAGTTAAAACATAGGATTTTTACACGTAGGAAATTTGAGGAATATCTTTCACAACTAGGATCGAAATAATGCTGTGCGAAATTGGAATATTTTATCGAGCACAGAAAGTTGCTGAGGCGTGTAGGAACTAGCGTCAGGGAACAAAGTCTAGCGCCAACAATTTGACATTAGCGCCAGGCAACATCTTCTGTCGCCAGGCGCTAAAGTTAAATTGTGACGCTGGACTCTGTTTGCTGGCGCCAAGTTCTTCCAATACCGAGCCAGAAATATGCGTTCTAATTTCGACTAGTTTTTAGCACTGTTTGCTCGATCCTACTTCCTGATTGAGTTTTTCTCACTTTTCTGAAACCCATATGTGTTCTACATATGGACATAACCCCCTGGGAATTCATGTTCCATCTCCTGATTGAACACTCTGAGCAACAAAGGGTATATCCAAGAATGTTGAATTCACCAAACCATTGAAGCGAGTTTTTCAAAACTCGCGGTGTCCCATCCATTCACGCCAACCCTTCACGGTTAGGCTTCCGCGTGGTGCATCCGGATAATTAACCATGGAACCTCTATTGAGTAACCCATATCCCGAACTTTAGAGAACTAGAGCCATGGTTAGGTTGCAAACTCATTGCATCATGTTGTGACTACTTGACTACTTATGCATTCTTTGCTTGTGCATACTCTGTGTTTTTCCTAACCGTTTGTTTGACTTGTGATTAAGCCTAAATAAATTAATTAATTACTAAAGGACTTTGTTTAATTAATTTTTTAATTAATTTGAGCTAATAAATATGTCTAAAATCGAGTCATAGTCCCTTTAAGTCAACCCGGATTTTTATTCCAGTATACTACACAAACGTCAACTTGTTTTGGTCATAGCATGTGTTCTAGAAATAACTACAAGTCGTACACCCTATGGATCTGTAGCCCCGAGTTTTTTCTTAAATTTGGCGTTGGTTTCATCCCAATCAGAGTCACAGATCAAAAGTTATGACTAAAATACCACAACCTGTCCAGTTTAATGCATATACATGAGGTCTTAACTTAGTCTTTGCTTGAGTCTAGTCACATAGTCTAACCACATGGTCTTACACAAGAGTCTTAATATGTCATCTACACTCATTACACTCATTAGTCTTAGGCTCTTAGCACACACTTTGAGTATATATCACCATGACCATGTCTTAGGTTCATGCACGAGTCGGTTTTTTCCATCATTTGAGTTGGGGGTACATTCTATTCCTATTTTTTTTTTATCTCTCCATCTACATCATGTTTATCCATATCACAACTTTCATTCTTTTTACCTTCTTCCATCCATTGCATGTTGAATAGAGTTTGAGTCAAATAATTAACAAGGAATATCCCTAATTTTCCTTTTCCAGGGTACTTGGTCGAGGAGAGAAGGGCGATTAATCAAGGACAACCTCTTTATTCAAGTCTTAATTTTTGATAAACCGATTCGTCAAAAGAGGAAAGCTAAAAAGATAATGGCAACTCAAGAGGAAGTTAATGAACTTAGGAGTCAATTGAGACGTGACTGAGGCGTTGAAGGCTTTAGCTCTCAAAATCAATGACCCTGTGAAGCAACAACAAATGGACCTTATGCAAGAAAGCTTGAGCAAGCTATCTAGTGATTACAAGTTTCAAGGCATTAGTTCACAAGGGGTCTTGGTGGACAAGGAACTTTTTTCGCATAAGTTTAATGCCAACGACATCCCAAAATTCAAGGCAACAGATAATCCTTACCTTCACTTAAGGGCCTTTGAAACTATAATGAACATTAAGGGGATTGATAAGAAAGTCTTTCATTGTTTTCTTTATCTCTTGAAACCGTTTTCAAACAATGGTTCTTCTCCCTTGACAAAGAGAAAACCTCTACTTGGGGTTATATTGTAAACACAATTCCTCACACATTAGCACTAGACACACCTAGCATAGTTCGAAGTTGCCTTCGCCCTAGACGTGAAAGGTTTTAATTTCTGAGGGTTTGGTCCCAAATCTCTATTTCAATTATTTAATTTAATTGTTTGTTTTATACTTTCCTTGAAGTAACTAACGTGTGTATTTTGTTATTAGAAAGAGGTACAAGGCATCCAAGTAAGTGCTTTAATTGATTTATTGATATTATGATTTAGAAATCATGTCTAGATTGTTATTATGATTCCTAGTGTCATGTTCGGGCGATTTGATATTCCTAGTATCATGTTTAGGGTAATAACTATAATTTCTAATATCAAATATTACAATTGTGTTTCCTGCGATGCTTCCCATTCTTTTCCTAATATTCATGTTAGTATTATGTTAGGGTTAAAGCTTTGATTTTTAATGTTTAGTGACATGCTAGGGTTTGTTATTAATCTTGTTAGTATCATGCCTAGGATCTTGCTATTATTATTATGCTTTATTATTAACATGATTATTTTTATGATTATAATTGTTATAATAATTTTTATGATTATTTATTATGTTGCTTGATATATATTTATTGTTATTGCTTGATCACACCTTTTATGCATGTTTAAAGGGAATTGGTACTTGTAATCACGCTTAATAAGATAATTGATAATCTTGTTTAGAGTTAATTTGATTATAATTCAAGTGATCGCCAATAATAGATTTATTTGAGCATTAATATTCAACCAACATAGATAAACAGATTTAGGGTAATCCTATTGATTGCATGATAGTCAGAAAGCGCACACGAGTACGATCAGAATAAAGTAGAGGCCTATTATTAGGGCAGGTTCAATCTCTTTTAGGTTGGATTTGTACCTTCATCCCCGAACTACCAGTCATGGTTCCAAACCTATTGGAGTTGACGATCTCCTGGATCGTTAAGGGGTGTAACCCTCACCTCGTGAACGTTTACAAGTTCCTAAAACTTGTTGGTGACTCTTTTCCTCTATCTTCTTTTCTTTTGGACGCCACCGTACTTTAGTGTATGATCATAGTGGGGTTCAAGTTAGGGGTAATTCTTGAAATATTCCCTACACCTTGAGGGTGCCGTTTTGCAGCATTATAGTGCTTTTGGGCCTTCTGATGTAAGGAGGCCTTTATGACATATTTTGGTTTCAAGTGCTCTCTAATTCTTAGTGCGTGTCATCTTCCTATGGTGACATGTGTCGCCCATTTATTGGACCACGTGTCATCATGGGATTGGACCATGTACTTGGGGTTTTTTTTTACCCTAAACAATAGTATACACGACATACCTTAGATTATGGCAGAGTTCAAATGTTGATAGGTTGCTTAAAGCAATTGTCTTGATAACGTGTTATAAAATTAAGGAAAGGAAGAAGAAAAGTGGAATATGTATAGAGAATATTATATATACTAGGGGTGTTCTCCGCGCGCGTTGCGCGCGAAGCAATTTGATAGAACCTTTATGAAAAATAGGATGATTAGTTATGTTTGAGGTTGGTGTACACCTTGTAATAGTTTGGGTCACACACAAGAGTGTGTCCCAAACTCCCAATGTAGTGAAATGTACTTAATTTATTTGCTTAGTTGTTTAACTTAGATTTAAATTAGAAGTGTATATGTAGCTAATAGGTTTAATTATTATTTATTACAAAATACTTTAGAGATGTTTTTAAGTTTAGATTTTGTCATATACGAAGTATCATTTTAGAAATATATTTTGAATGTGATTATGTGAATATTTTCGTTCATTCCAAATTAGGTAGCAATTCTTAATAGTTTGTCCATTTGGCTAGTAATGAAGTCACGTTCCAAGCTTTCAATATTTTTGACAATATGATAAGAAACATCAAAACAATTAAAAAAAAATGTCTTGTTTATTACGAAGTAGATTGTAAAATATGAATGGAAATCAAAGTAATAGTAGTATTTTAAAGTGTAATGTGTTTGAGAGGAAACTGATGTGCTATTTAAATTAAGCTATTTCCAAAGAAAATTAAAAATAAAAAATAAAAAAATGCATTGCATCTCTCCCATCTCTGTCTCTCATTTGTTGCGTAAAAAAAATCTCTCATTCTCCTTCTTGGTCTGATGTTCAGAGAGTGAGGTTTTCCCTCAATAGTTGCATGATAAGAGAGCAGTCTTTTTAAATTTCTTCACCCATAGTATGTGGCTTCTTCAAATGCCTATTAATATATATAAATTTAGTGAATTATTAGATACTCTACCACATGGAAATTGTCAAATTGAAGGCATCAGTATATAACCAATGTATAGCAATTAGTAACACCTGGGAATAAAATTGATTACATAAACAGGCATACAAAAGCTAAGCTAAATTACGTGAAATACATTCAAGGTTCGCAAGACCTAATCTGATGGAATAAGTTGGTGGCAAATCTGTATGAGCAATTTCCTAGAAGATGAATAAATAAGATATTACGTCAAATAATAAGCTTAATACCATACTTGCTACTTAAAATATAATAATATATCCCTAAATATTTCAAAAAAAAAATTATATGCCTAAACCAAAACTACAATGGTGAAGAAATATCTTCAGAATTGTAGAGAACTCATGTACGTAGAGCAAGTAATACGGTTGTCCATCTTGTTGCTCGATGGGATACACGTGATAGTGATGAACATGTACGATTTGGCAACTTCCCCCAAAGTATTTTAACTCTTGCACTGCTAATATCTTCCCTCAAAAAAAAAAATTGCTGAGTATAAATGCATCATCAAATATAAACCACACATCATATATCCACAAACCCCTTTTTTCTATACCACCATAGAGATCAATTAGATATGTGCAAGACAGATTTGTCAAGCCAACGCCACATAAATTTATGCATCTCATATTGATTATCTTTACTTGTCATAGTTTCCAAGATAATATGCAAAGTAGTTGTTGCTGGAAAAGAACCAAATAAACATCTAAACAGATTTACTTGTGCTCCTATTATCCTTGCCTCAACAATTTCTATCATATTTGACTATGGTAACTCCACTAACACTTTTGCGATTTTGTGTAAATATACATACTCGTATCATTTAATTTGTTGAATTTTGAACATATAAATTAAGTCCCAATTCAGTTCAATTACTAGATTTTGACCCAAGTTTGTAAGATCCCAAAACCCTATACCAAAGTTTCACAAACAAAATCAAATTGTAACAAATCAAATGACAAATTAAGAACATCAAAAATTAAGAAAAGAGAAAGAAGAATTACAAATTCTCATACGACACGAATTATATATATACTTGTTTACACAAAATAAATTATCTAATTTGTCGAGTCTCAAGGGGATTGTTATGTACATCTCTAATAATTCTTGAACGAGATACATTGAAATATAAATGCATGCGATGGCGTAATATTAATTAACTTAATCCGTTTAAATTTAGGTGATACTTTTGTGACTTTCTTTACCATACATTTAGTCACTCTTAAAAATCTCAAAAACTAATTTTCAAAATAAGTCATATCTTACTAATAAGTCCATAACGGAAAGATCATCCTAATGATCGATCTCACAACTTCCTTTATATACACATATAATTAACTTCATGAGATGCAGAGATGGTCTAGGCCGGATACTTTTCCATGAATATGCATGCACTTTTACAAACTATATTGGTACATGCATATACATGTTCAAGTATCTTGATAACATCAACTTTTACCAACACGTGCATGGAAAATTGGCAATGGAAAACCAAAAAAAAAATCTCACACTACTTGAGTTCAAAGTAAGATATAATCCAACATATTAATTGACAACATATAGGAGTAGCTTTTACTTAGGTTATAGATTGATCAAGTTTCTTATTTCCTTTAAACGTGGTACACATAATACTCACACTTGCACTTACTAATTTATCCTCAAATATAAGTCTATACATTTCTTCTTGAACGAAAATGGATAAATTAAACGATGAATTTTGTCTCTGTTGAGCAAGCTCTACGAAGACACCAACGCCGGGCCTTAGCTTAGCAATACAAGTCCTAACACAAACAATGTATATCAAATGGCACGTAACAATCGCATTGAACCTAACACGGATATCAATTTGTAAGAATAAATGGAGGAGAGACAAATATATATAAAGAAGCTCGATTGGGCCTCTAAACAGTTTCAAGTTAGAGCTACATACATAAACTCAGCCACTTAGAGATCATCCTCATCTTATTAACTTGTGCTTAAAACATAGTCTAAAGCTCTAAATGTTTTTATTATCAGTTTCAAAATCTTTCATGAAATCTACCATCAAAACCATTATAATAAAAACAGCAGTATTGTAAATTTGAAATTATAAACACCATTGCTACCTATATATAATTGAAGAAATCAAGACAATGAACCAGCAACGAAGTTGAGATCTAAATGCATAACCAAGCACAAAATCAGTAAACAATGTATCAAATGTAATTAACATTGCACAATCTCCCAGCAACAAAGGTTTATATCAAGAGAAATACTTACATTTTTACATGGAAAATCAAGCTTCTTGAGCTTAAGAGTGCGAACGACAAGCAACTTTTGAAGGTCCCCAAACTCAAACTCAAGCTTCCCCACATGAGCCTCTACTCCTTTCCCTTTACCATTCAAAAACTCCGGTACTTTGACCTTCCTTTTCATATCAAACAACACATCAAGCCCTCAAATAAAAAGTTAAAACCAAACTAATAAAGGAATATCTCTAATGGGTTCTGCACAAAATCTAATTGCATTTCCAGAAAGAATGAAGCAAGTCCACAAATTATAATTTGAAAGAGAAAATTTAATCTTACAACAAAGACAAAGGAGAATAATTTCTCATTCTTCTCTGATCTTGGCAAATTAAATACAATAACCAAGTCTAATTAGAAATTTGTGCCCTTTCAGACTTCTAACACCAAAAATACTTCCTTGTCAATTTTTCGGAAAGAACAAACAACTTCAAAAGGTTGTAAATTCATGACAAATTCCGACAATATCAATATCACTCAAGACCAATTGTATCTTAAGGCAACTATTATCTAATGATTCTCATCATTGAGCATCAGACCCTATGCCACAATAAAGACACCGTTTGTGCCATGAACATTAATTGAAGTAGATTTATATTGTTTCCAAAATCAATGAGATTTGTAACATTAATCTGAAACCTGTTTTATATACCAAATTGAATCAAACCATCCCAAAATTATGAACTAATTGAATTGAATCAGAAAATAAAACCATTTTTAAAACAAACTGAATTGAATTGACAAAACCCCTTAAAATCTAAACAATCTGAAATAAATCAGAAACCCCTAATTTTTATTTTTATTTAAAATAAAATCCCTTTTGGGTTTTATGAGATAATGATCAATTATACAAATGCAAGCATAATTGAACTAACAAATACTATCATATAAAATCATACTACCAGAATACTAAATTTAAGAGAAAAGAAAAAAAATTATGAGTTATATCAGATCATTTCACATAGATACTCAGATGAATGACAAAGCTCAACTAAAGTAGAAACTCAACACCGATGAACATTATAAACAAAATAAGAAGAAAACTCAAAAATTAAAATTTGATGACAAAAAAGAATGCCTGAATTAAGAAGTTTCCATTTAGAAGTTTTGTTTATTAAAATTAAAGCCTAATTTTTAAGAAATGAGCAATTTTCCACCTTCCTATTCAACCACAGCAAATTGAAAGGGAGAGAAAATACATTACAAGTTTATGAGTTTCATTTATATTTTAAGTGGTTGCAGTCTTGAGATGGCGGCAGTCTGCCGAAAACTTCACCACCACCATTACCTCTGCCGCGATCATCGCATTTTCTCTCCTCTTTTTCTTGTTCGACAAAAAAGAAAGACTGAATCAAAAACATGCACCAATATAATATCATAGCGTTGGACTAACAACAAAGCTTATAATTAAATTATACTCAAACATTAGTCCTAAAAAATCACAAAAAATCTACATACATACTCGATAAAAATCCAGAAAAATTGAAAGAGGAGTAAGGAAATGGTACCTTAGCAACGAGATACTCACCTTCAAACTGACAGGTAACAAAAAACATAAATCTTTGACCGATCATTTCACCTTCAAACTGAGATAGAGAAAGCGTGCAAGTTTCCGACACCGAAAACCTACGAATTGCCTTGTTCAGTGGTCACAGCTAAATTGGATAGCCATCACTTGAAAAAATTCAACTGCATTTGATGGAGATGAGCAAGCTCAGAAGTTGCTCATTGTTGATGGTTTTAGAGAAAGTGAAGATGAAAGAAGAGAGAGAAAGGGGGCGTATGGAAGAGACACTACAGAGATAGAGGAAAGTAAAAAGTAAAATATTGCAGAAGAAAGAAAAGCCAATGGTCAAGATTCCTAACTGCTAAGTAAAAAGTAAAATATTGCAGAAGAAAGTAACAATGCATGCTTACTGCTAAGTCATACAATCGAGGTGTAAGAACTTTGCCACACCCTTGCCATGTCAGCAAGTTCACACATGCAATTGGCACATGTTGCTACTATTCATAAGGGAACCAGGTGAAACATTTTAAGGGTTGTAGATTGTCCATCACTTTCATTTAGGCAATGACTATTATTTATACATGTACAAGTAAATATAGTAACTCCCTAAGAACAATGTTTATAATTGTAGTATATATTTCAAGCATCCTAAGTGAACCCCACTGATGTGATCATACACTTAAGCATGGTAGCATCCAAAGGGAAGGAAGCTAGAGTAAAAGAGTCGCCAACAAATTTTAGGAACTTGTAAACCGTTCACAGGGTGAAGTTTACACCCTTTCACGATCCATGAGATCGCTAACTCCATAGTGGTCTTGAACCATGACTGGATATTCGAGGATGAAGGTACAAATCCAGCCTAAAAAAGATTGAACCTACCCTAAAAATAGGCCTCTACTTTATTCTTCTCATATTCATGTGCACTTTCGACTAACATACAATCAATAGGTTAACCCTAAACATGTTTAATCTATGTTGGTTGAATATTAATGCACAAACAAAACTATTATTGGCAATCACTTGAATTATAACCATATTAGCCTAAACAAGATTATTAATTATCTTATTAAGCGGGATTACAAGTACAAATTCCCTTTAAACATGCATAAAAGGTGTGATCAAACAATAACAATAATATATTGAGCAACATAATAATAACAACAATCATCATCATAAAAATCACAATCTCAATCTCATGAAAGCATAATGACATTAGCAAGATCCTAGGCATGATACTTACAAGATTAATAACAAATCCTAGTATGTCACTAAACAATAAAGATCAAAGCTTTAGTTCTAACATGATATTAGGAAGGAATAGGAAGCATCATAGAGACATACATGATATTAGAAATATTAGTTTTTATCCTAAACATGATACTAGGAATCATAAAGACATCCTAATCATCATACTAGGAATTAAAATAATTAAAGCATGATTTCTATATCAAAATAATAACAATTAATTTACTTACTTGGATGCCTCGTATCTCTTTTTAGTAACAAAATACACGCGTTAGTAACTTCAAGGAAAATATTAAACAAACAATCAAATTAAATAATTGAAAGAGAGATTTGGGACCAAACCCTCAGAAATTATCAACCTTTCACGTCTAGGGCGAAGGCAAATTCGAGCTTGGCTAGGTGTGTCTAGAACTAATGTATGCGGAATTCTGTAAGAGGGAAGGTTTAGAAAAAGAATAGAGAGAGAGTAAGCTTCTAGCTTTAGAGAGAGAAGAGAGATGATTGATTGTTGATGATTTGAAAACGGAGGTGTAGACACCCATTTGTGTCTCCCCAAAACCAAACCCAGTGATGAGTACCTTTCGCGTCGAATCATAATCGAATGAAGTGAAAGTGTGGAAAGTTTAGTGTTGCGGATAGTTTTAATTTCTTTTCTCTTTTCTCTGTTTTTGAAAACTTATTTTAAGAAAACAGCCAATCCAGTTTGGTTGGACCATGATATGGGTCCAATAGTAGTGTAGTTGGATGGGGCTTGACAAGAGCTTTCCAACGATATATTATAACCCAATTCCGATGAATATTGAGGAAGTTATGGCCAATTTACTAAACTGGGTCAGGTTTGAGCCTTATATGCGGCCCAATGATCTAGGGGAGGGCCTAATATGATTTATCATTCCTAATGCAATTAGGAATGGTTTAAGTCTTCTAGATACTTCTAGAAGGTTATTTTCATTCCCAATTCAATTAGCATTGATAAATTGACTTTTGTTGACTTTTCAGAGTTTTAATTAAAATCAAAGAACATTTTTGAGGAAAAGATACGATTTTATCCTCCCATACGGCAAAATTTATCTGATTTTAGAAAACGCGTCAAAAACAGGGTTAGCGCCTAACGCCAGGCATTGGCGCCTGGCGCTAGCATTGGCGCCTGGCGCTAGCATTGGCGCCTGGCGCTAGCATTGGCGCCTGGCGCTAATGTTGGCGCCTGGCGCCAATTAGCTAGCGTTGGCGCCAGCTCTGTTTCACGTGCACCAATGGTCTATTTTGATAATTTTATCTTTTTGGCTGATTTTCTCTATAAATAATGTATTAAAAAATCCGTTTTCATTCATCAATAACCAGCTTTTCAATTATATTCACCTACAATCATTTTCACTCGCAATCATCAATTCTCGCATTCTCTTCTCTATTAACACATCTCTTTTTCTAAACTCGCTTTTCAAATACAAAATTCCGCATTCATTAGATCTAGAAACACCTAGCCGTATTCGAAGTTGTCTTCGCCCTAGACGTGAAAGGTTTAATTTCTGAGGGTTTGGTCCCAAATCTCTCTTTCAATTATTTAATTTAATTGTTTGTTTATTATTTTCCTTGAAGTTACTAATGTGCAGTGTGTATTTTGTTATTAGAAAGAGGTACGAGGCATCAAAGTAAGTACTTTAATGGTTTTAATTGATATTATGATGTAGAAATCATGTTTAAATTGTTATTATGATATTCCGAGTATCATGTCTAGGGTAATTTTAATATCAATTATGATTATTACGATGCCTTTTATTCTCTTCCTAATATTTGTGATTATTAGTATCATGTTAGGGTTAAAGATTTGATTTTTATTGCTTAGTGACATGTTAGGGTTTGTTATTAATCTTGTTAGTATCATGCCTAGGATCTTGCTATGCTTTAACGTGATGATTATTATGATCACGATTATTATTATTTTTATGAATATTATTATGTCGCTTGATATTTATTGTTATTGCTTGATCACACCTTTTATGCATGTTTAAAGGGAATTGGTACTTGTAATCACGCTTAATAAGATATTAATAATCTTGTTTAGGGTTAATTTGATTATAATTCAAGTGATCGCCAATAATAGTTTTATTTGTGCATTAAATTCAACCAACATAGATTAAACAGGTTTAGGGTTAAACCTATTGATTGTATGTTAGTCAGAAAGCGCACATGAATATGATCTGAATAAAGTAGAGGCCTATTATTAGGGCAGGTCCAATCTCTTTTAGGTTGGATTTGTACCTTCATCCCCGAACCCTTATTTGGTTCTAGACCTTATGGAATTGACGATCTCTTGGATCGTTAAGGGGTGTAACCTTCACCTCGTGAACGGTTTACAAGTTCCTAAAACTTGTTGGCGACTCTTTTGCTCTATCTTTTTCCCTTTTGGACGCCACCGTACTTTAGTGTACGATCACAGTGGGGATCAAGCTAGGGGATTAACGCTTGAAATATTCCCCACAGTTTTTGGCGACTCTGCTGGGGAGGATTTCTATTTTATTTCCTGAATTTGTTTCGGCAATGATTTAGAATAAGTGGATGAGACTCGAAACGTTCTAAGTATTTCATGTGCGTAATTTTGATTAACATTATTGTCATATGCATAAAAAAGATCTCATTGGAAAGACCATCCGTAATGAGTTAAAAACATAGGATTTTACACGTAGGAAATTTGAGAAATATCTTTCACAACTAGGACCGAAATAACACCGCGCAAAACTGGAAAATTTTTTCAAGCACAGAAAGCTGCTGAGGCATGTGGGAAGTAGCGCCAGGGGTAAAAGTTGTCGCCAGTCTCTGTTTGCTGGTGCCAACCTCCCCCAATACCGAGCTAGAAATATGCGTTCTAATTTCGACCGGTTTTTCGTATTGTTTGCTCGATCCTAATTCCTGATTGAATTTTTTTCTCACTTTTCTAAAACCCATATGTGCTCTACATATGGACATAACCCTCTGGGAATTCATGCTCCATCTACCTGATTGAACGCTCCGTGCAAAAAAGGGTACATCCGAGAATGTTGAATTCACCAAACCATGGAAGCGAGTTTTTTTTAAAACTCGCGGTGTCCCATCCATTCGCGCCAACCCTTCACGGTTAGGCTTCCGTGCGATGCATCCGGACAATTAACCATGGACCCTCTATTGACTAAACCATATCCTGAACTTTAGAGAACTAGAGCCATGGTTAGGTTGCAAACTTATTGCATCATGTTGTGCCTACCTGACTAATTGTGCATTATTTGTTGCGCATATATTCTATGTTTCTCTTAACCGTTTGTTTGACTTGTGTTGAGATCAAATAAATTACTGACTTAAAGAACTTTGCCTAATTAATTAATTATTTAATTAATTTGAGTAAATAAAGTCTAATATTTTAATCAGAATTGACCTAGTACGACTTTAGGCATACCCCAGTTGATTAATAACACCGAAAACAGTCTCAGATTGAAGCTCCACCATTGGCGCCAAAATCTGAGTTGTAGCGCCACCCTGTGGAGTGTGGCGCCTGGCGACAGCTCTGTTGTATGGCGCCAAGCTACACGATGTGACGCCAGTCTTGTCATTTGGCAGACAGTTCGGATTATTGGTCGAGTCATCACCTAGAGTCTAATTAACCAGTTTACTAATTAATTTGGTTAATTTTCGCTGACCTTGTCAAGTCGTTAATTGAGTCTAGTCACATAATCTAGCCACATGGTCATGACACGAGTCTTAACGTACCATCTACACTCACTAGTCTTAGCACACACTTTGAGTATATGTCATCATGACCATGTCTTAGGTTCATGCATGAGTCGGTCTTTTCCGTCATTTGAGTTGGGGGTACATTCTATTCCTAATTCTTCATATCCCTCCATCTAAATCTTCTTTCACATTCTATTCCAATCTTTCTTCACTTCCTCCATCCATTGCATGTTGAATAAAGTCTGAGTCAAATAATTAACAATGAATATCCCCAAATTCCTTTTCCACAGTACTTGGTCGAGGAGAGAAGGGCGATTAATTAAGGACAACCTCTTTATTCAAGTCTCGCTTTTTGATAAACCGATTCGTCAAAAGAGGAAGGCTAAAAAGATAATGGCAAGCCAAGAAGAAGTCAATGAGCTTAGGAACCAATTGGTTACTGTG